GGGGGCAAACAACACACTCAACTCGATTCATTTATGTGATACCTGGCTAGTGGGCAGGGGAGGAGCCCAGGAGGTGTATTTGGGCAGCAGTTGTGCACTGTCTGCTGCTACAATGCTCCGTTTGTGTCTGTGCTGTGCGTTCACATTAACAGAGGTGTGTGCGAGTGGGGTGGGATGTGGAAGGAATATTAATTGGGGAATTATTATCACACGCTTTTAATTGACAAGCACTTATAGGTGATCATGTCATCATGGGCCACAAAAAAAAAGTGAATTCCCAAAAGGGCACTTGCTTGGTCCAGAGGACAAAGGGCAGGTGCTTAAGCAGCACCTAGTGTCTATCTGTGCACGCCACTGCTTGTAGACATGCTAGACAAATGAGAAAAAGAGTGTTTCACTGCTGATATGATGTACAGATAGAAAATCCTGGTGAAATGTCCATTAAACCTTACATTAAACCATTTGCAGTTATTCTCCTCATTCTGCACCGAAAGAGAGTCACAGGAAAAACAAGTCACTCAGAGAATTTATGGCAGGGATCTGTTTCAGGGATGGGTTCCCAGCGTTTAACTGATTTTATTTAAAACATTATTTTATGTGTTTTAATCTTTTAGTTCCTAGCTCCAGTGTCTCCTCAGTGTCTCCTCATGCGTTCTTCCTCACCGGGACCCTCGGTACAAAGCCATGACGAAATGCAAAACAACCAACCACTGTCCTGTGTGTGTATGTTTGTGTGTGGGTAGGTGGGTGGGTGGGTGGGTGTGCATGTGTAAGTGATCGTGTATCTGTGTGTGGGCGTGGGAGGGAGGGGTTTTATTTTTATTTATTCTTATCATTTTTTTAAAGCACTTTGTGCTACTCCTATGTATGAAAAGTGCTATACAAATAAAATAAATTTGAATTTGAATCGGTGCCCCAAATGCACCCTTAATGTTTGAGTTCCCATGATCTTTGGGTCATCCTTAAGGCTGAGGTGTCAACTATGAGCTATCCCAGCCAAGGTTAGAAGGTAAATGTTTATTCGGTCTGGGGGTCCGGTTTTTGATCAGCAACTTTGTCTCTTTGAAGTGTAAAAGATTCACTATCAGCCTTTTGGGAGAGCGACTCTCGGTTCTGTCCAGGGGCCGTAAAAGGCCATAACTTTGGTGTGGAAAGTTATTCCCAACGCCTCTCCTGATCAGTTTTTGTCCCAAACTGAAAATGTACAGGCAGAACTTTATAACATCTTACAAATTAACATAGAGAATGACCCGCTGACCTTCTTTGGGAGTTTCCCTTTGACTGTTTATGTAGAGAAAGAATGTACCTCCTCAAAATCCTCATAATAGTGGCAAAAAACATGATAACTACGCCCTGGTGTAAGCCATTACCCCCAACCGTAGACCAATCGAAAGAGCGACTTACCAAGATATACACAATGGAAAAAATAACAGCAAAGCGCAACCTCGACATAGCCTTATTCAAGAAGAAATGGAATCCACTAATTTCTTACTTTGGACTAACATACAGGACATCCAGGTGATTCAGCATCATATAGGCATCTGCAAGCCTAGACCCTTTAAAGTAAAAGGGTGTGTTTTTTGTACATAACTATCAATATTATAATTATTTATCCACTCATTTATTTTAACTTGTAGACCTCTGACACCGTCATAAGAACATGGAACCACCTTGAGGATGAGTTCTCTGTTCATGCTGTTTCTGCTTTTGTTAATGTTACTCAGATATGTAACAAAAGGATTTACAGCTTGTTATAAGAAGAATTCTGTAAGTATGTTTGAATATGTAAAGCTTGAAACATCAATAAACACATTTGTTCAAAAAAAAAAAAAAAACCTCTGCTTTGTAGCAGGGAAATCAGTCAATTCCTCTGAAGGGTTTACTTGTGTGATTCAGCTGTTGTCAGAGTTACACTGACTTTCCTAAACTTAATAACAAAGCGCCCTTCTCGAGTTTATTGTTGGTTATCAAGTTAAACTGTGTGGTTGAAATCGGTACTGCAGTCAACATCATGACCCTCACCTGTTTCCAGTGAACCTGTTCTGTATTTTTGGAGCAGTCCTGAATTTCTTTTAAACATTCGTTGACCCTGAACCAACTTTTTATGAATGTGTTGAAGCATCAAACTCAAAATGAGTGGATATTTGCAATATTTCCAGTGAAGTTTATCTTGTAGTAAGTTGTGCACTAATACCTGACTGTAAAACTGAATGTATCCACCTTAAAAACACCTTTAACTCTGATGCTCAGAAGCTTTAAGTCTGATACTTTGGATGTCACTGTGCTGTTGATTTGTAGACTTTTGAAAAGACTGAGTATATATTAAGTCTTCTTAGCCAGCAGTTTGAATAAAGCCCCTCTGTCTGCTAGTTAGTGCATGCTAAACTGAGCTGTCCTCTGTTTTTAATAACACAGTTAGTTCAGACTGGCTTTTGCATTGCTCTATTCTGCAGTTCCCGGTCTGTCTGCTCTGTTTGATTATTCTTGTCACACTGCAGATGAAAAATTAACGATCTGCTCTGCTGTAACCCCAGCAGTCTGAATCTACTGTTCCCTCATTTGAGATGGCTTTTGTCCTTTTTGCTCAGCTGTTTGTGTTTTACATTCTGTAATTTAACCATATTTACAATCTCTGCTAATTCTGTGCCTTAATATCAAAACTCTCATGCTTATAATCAAGAACTCTGTGTTTGACTTTCTCTTCCTGCAGGTGCACAATATCATTATTTTTAAGAAGCATCTCTTTTTTCTTGCTGGTTGCAGTCCATGTTAAATTTGACTGTTTGGACTGTGTTGCAACAGGTTGTCTTTGTATTTACGGTCATGCATCTTCTTTCATTGTTGCAGGAATTAAAAAAAAAATGTATCTATTACAAAATCTAATTATGTTGGAGGAGCATTGCACACATTGGTATTGTTACTGAATTTGCGGTTGTGAGAGTGTGATTTTGCAGGTTATATATCACGGCTTTGTCTTAAATGTATTGAGAGGTTGATAAAAATGTGGTTTTATGTCTGTGTAGGTTCTCATTGATCCAGGTCATGTTGATGTTTTTCATATAAACTATAAACTTTTTCAAGAGGCTCTCTGTATGTGTGACCATTGGCAGGCTACTTACTCTATACACTTCACAACATAGTCTGTAGCATTCAGCATAAAGCAGATGAAAGAAAAAGTAAAAAAACTAAAAAAAAATGTGAGAACATAAGTGGGAACCACCCTTATTTAGCTGGAAATGTCGTTAGCGGGAAGATAGGGCTAATTTGGTTTAAACTGCCAGTAATCCACTTTTATTAGCATTAGTGTTGGAGACGATAGCGGATCAGAATCATAGATCACATGAGAAATCAAAAAGTATGGTTACACACTGACTTATAAATATACGCTGATTAAAGAGATCGTTGTGAAGGGAAGCCCAGCTGCCCTGTCTGTTTAACACACACACACACACACTGATATTTAGTTAGTTAAGATCTTTAGTTGTGTTGTATGTTTGAGTTGAGTGGGGGCAATTGAGTTGGGGATTCTGGATTTTATACTGTAACTATTTGGATTGGCCGGTTAATTTATTAGTCATCCTAATTCTTTTCCTGTTAATAACATTTATTCATCATTACATTTTGATCAACATAGTTTATTGTTATAGTATGCTAAGGGGGGATTGATTTGTGTGAGAACAGAGGACTTGCCAGTGGGGAAGTGATTACAGGTGTGTCTTGAGTGGATAATTCATGTCACCTGTGGAGAAGTGATAAAGGAGTGCCCGAATAAAACATATGATTGCTAAGCCATTGTCCAGCGTTTCCATCCTGATGTGCACATTCTGACAATCGTCTTCTCTTCCAGGTTTTTGAACACATGAATCTGAAACAGCAGGTCCAGTTTTAGCTCATCTGAACACCACCACATGTCAGGTTTTTGATGACTGTCTTCTTTTAGATTTTCATTTTCCGTACATTGCTAGAGGAAGTGAAACTCAGTCTGTTTCCCATTTTTGCTCTGACTGACCTCACTGACCCCAGAAAGAACACCAGATCTTAGCTCTACAACCACAAACCTTTGGCTGTGGTAACATATATGTCAGGATGAAGATTCTGCATATATGCATATATGTTTTGTTTGGACAGAACAAAAACCTTACAGCACAGATTATTCCTGTATATGAACAACATATCTACCACTTCAAACATCAAGCAGAGTTGCCTGATTCAAGGATTGTAACAGTTCAGACTTTCATGTACAGAGCCTCCAACCCGATGTTGCTGCCCAGTTATGGGACAATTATAATTTTGGCTGATATCGATAACAGGGTTATTAAAAATGTTTGACCATAATCTAACATTAGCCTCAGAGCATTTCAGAAAGCTAAAAACCTCTTTTAAATCATGCTTCTCTTCCTTCTCCTCTCCCTGTTCTCTCTTCTCCTGTTAGCTGTCTGATAGTTTGTACTGCTGTTGCACAGTATGTTAAAGATGCATCAGTTCACCATTAAAGGGATATTCCGGTGTAAAATTAAGTTAGGGTCAAACACACAGTTAGACACCCCCTTGAGAGATGAATGTTGCTGACTGTTTGCTTCTGTAGTTATACCAACTTCAGCAACGACTGCATGATAGTAATACACAGCGGTCTATGTCTCCATTAGTTTTTAAGCATGTCTAGAGGTTTTAAAGTTGAAAAACCTTTAATAATGATAGTAATAATAAATAATTCCTGCAAATTCAATATCAGCCCAGTTTTCACCCAACCCACAGATTTTCAGACAATTACAGGATATGAGCCCAAACACTGTTAACAAGAATCCCGGTTAGGTAGATCTTATCCTTAATGTTAACATAGATGGCAATGTATGAAAAGGTCAGAACAAAGTCTGTGTTTGATTTAAAACTTTGGATCTTCTACAGATACTTCTGGTTCTGTGATTTTGGCATAAACTGATGTACATACAGGCTCATGTGACATGACTGCATGTTATAATCCTCAGCACACCAAATCAGACAGACACCGACAGAAAGCATCATTTGAGGAACTTAAGCTTATCTAGTCATCAGCCAAAGAGGAGTGAGGAGACTCAGTCTGTCCTCCTGCAGTTCAATGATCAGTCTTCACTAAGACAACCTCAGAATGGATATTCACCATCTGCTGATCTTCTGCTTCCTATCAGGTGAGGTCCAATCACCTGAGTATCTCACACTGCTTTTTAACACTTACTCACTGCCTCTGTATCTCTGCCGTGTCAAGAATCTGAAGCCTCTTAAGCCTGCAGTCTGTTTTAAGATCCAGAGTTAGTGAAGTTGACAGAAATTTTGAAGAAGTTGAAGTTGATAGAGTCGATAGAAATTTTATCTATTCGGTTCCTTTCTTTCTGATTTGCAGGGTCAGTATTTAGCCGGTTATGTTTACTTCTGCTCTGACATCATTTTTAACAACTTTGTTTGCACACATCAAATCAAACTGAACGACTCTAAACTCAGACTTTGCTCATGGACCAACCACCCATGGTATTTTTTGACTGCACACATATCTTTTCTTATGCAGCCTTCGATCTCTGACATTTCTGTAACTAAATGAATTATCTTATAAAGACAGGGTAATTTGGGTATTTTTCATAAAGTCTAACTGAATGTTTGGCTAAAGGTTCTGACTTTAATGCCCAAACACTCCATGAGAGCATCCTCTAAAATCACTTAAGGTAAAGACTGAAAATCATATACTGTTTCAGTACTTTTGGCTCTCAGATCCTCCCCTAACTTTGACTGTTTTCAGAGTGATCTGTGCTGCTCTTGTTCCTGTTTATTAGCAGCAAATTAAGCCAATTCGTTCATGCCTCCTGCTCACTTTGCCTCACTCAGTGTTCAGTTGTCCTTTCCTGGTAACAATAATTGTTTTCATGAAAATAACTCTCACTGTTTATAAAGTATGTCTCCTCTGTCTTTTACTGTTTATACCATTTCTTTAACATTAGATCCTCATTACGTCTTGATCTTTTCCACAGCTCTAAGTGGAGGAAACAACGGGCTTGTCAGCGCAAAAGTCAACATTTATACTTTCACTAAAGGACAACATTTTTCCATTAATTGTTACCTACAATCATCTGGGAGCTGGAGGTTCTTCTGTAAGAACCAATGTGATGCAGACGATATTCTCATCAGAACAGAAGAGGTCCAGAGTCAGGTGGGCAGGTACAGCATGAGTTACAAAAGTGAGCCTACCTCCTCCACAGAGGGAATCCTGAATGTGAAAATCCTGAATGGAGTCAAGTCTGATGCAGGCCTGTACAGATGTGGTTTGGGCAGCTCTTCTGTTACAGACTCTTCCACTGACTTTGAGTTCAGAGTTTGTGATGGTGAGTTGTTTTTTTGTTTGTTTGTTTGTTTGTTTGATTGTTTTAGAAAGACATGAACCAGATGTATTTAATGCACAACCTGCTCATTTAGAGCTGAAAAATATGTGCTCAATTTAAGTTTAATAATAGGAACATATCAAGAAGTTGTTACAGGGTCATGTTTTTCAGTGTGTGTCCTCAGCTCTTCTTTTACTAACACTTTGGCAGCAGATGTTGCTCCTAAACCTGCAGATATTGTTCAGCATTAAATGAGCCTTTACAGATGTGGAAGATACCCATGACATGGACTCTGATGATCCCCATACCATCAGGGCCTTTAGCTAAATCTGAAAGAGACATATTCTATACAAGGCACAACAACATTTATTACTAAATCATGTAAACTGAGGGCACTTAATTGCATTTAGAAAGTTAAATGAACTTTTCAAATGTTTTTTTTAGAAGTCTCATCTTTCCCCCTGTTTAACTGTCAGTCTGCTAGAACCTCCTCTCAAATCTAGATAACATTCCTGCTCCTGGTCTGGTGTTTTGTTGATTGGCCAACATCTTCAATCCACGTTAATATCTGCAGCTCTGCTGTTGATGTTTAAATTCTGGTTTGCAGAAAAGGACCCAGAGTCCAAATGTGATGAACTAAGCTTTCCACTGACTTATTTTTTTCAGAAGCTACTGAGTCCACAGAGTTTTAACAACAGTAAAATACTGCCCTTTGGCTTAATCAGCTGTAGCTGGCCAGTATTTGACTAAAAGTAGCAATTAATGAGTCCTTTATATTTCAGAAATGGTTATGGTGTGTTATTACATTTTTTAAAGTAACTGGTTAAACTACATGTCACTGAAAACTCCTACAAACCCATGGTCTTGCAACAGCTGATCAATCACGCTGTTCCAGTTCAGCAGCTCCTATTGCTTGTATTGAGAGGAGAGAGTGCGCATGTATAACTTTATAACGTGGGTCTGAGGTTGTGCTGTGGACCGGAAACAAGTGATAGATGTGTAAATTTAGACAAACTCTACATTTTTACTGTAGCTTATTACTGAGTTGGTGAAAAATATATAAAACACTTTTTAAAAAATCTGACTTATTTTTTAAAAAGAAGTATCCAGCTATAGTCTGCCTTTCTCCTTGTTGGGAGAGGTGGTTTGGCGCCCTAGCACCCCTATTGACCTGTTGCCACTGCCATTATTTTGAAGCTGATTTTCCATTATTGCAGAAGTTCTTCAGTGTTGCCCTGTTGTCTCTGTCCCAGCTCAGATGTTTTGTTGGTGTCTAATTTAAATAAGAGAATCTTTGAAAATATTTCATTACTTACAGGGATTTAACGATTTGCAAAGTCTGTCTTTCCCAACGTTTGATAATTTCCCCAACATCTTTTAAAATGGAGTTGTACAGCATTATATGTATGTATGTATGTATGTATGTATGTATGTATGTATGTATGTATGTATGTATGTATGTATGTATGTATGTAAACCCTGCAGATTTTACATTTTTGTTTCACCCTACTTACACCATCAGTTTCATTCATTGACAGACAATGAGCAGAACTCAAAACTTAAACAATGCAAAGTCAAAATCTCATTAAACTGCTGTAACTGCAGAACTTTTGACTGTGTCACCATTATCTGTCTGTCCAGAGACACCATTGGAAGGACATACTGGTGTAATCCGCACAGAGTTTGAAGGAGAAGATGTCCGCAGTATATGCTCCAGTTCTGTCTACAGACAGTGGAAGTTCCTCTGTAAGGGTGAATGTAAGACAGACGAGGACATACTGATTGAAACAGAAGCAAGCAACACTCAGAACGGCAGATACGGCCTTGAGTATACCAACTATCAACTCTACCTGACCATCAAACAGGCCACTAAGTCTGACACAGGAAAGTACAGGTGTGGTTTTGGCAAAGCTCTGTCTCCAGATTCATATTATACATTCCCACTGATCGTCATAGAAGGTGAGTTTTTATGTCACTTCATTTGATAACACCTCTTCTATTAATATTACTCCTTCAAGAGTGAACTCCACAATAGATGAACTGTATGCCATCTTTGAGCACATGGTGTTTTTTTAACCATTTAATGATCATATTTTGGACAAAGAATCTACATGTTTTTTAATTAAACATATTTTAACTCTTTTCATGTGAAGGAAAAAAAACTAACCTTTGACCTCCAGCAAAGTAGAGTGCTGTTTATCCTTTAACAGGCAGAAACCTCAAACAGAACCAGACTCATGTTAGACAGCCACCTGTTGAGACTGAGCTGGGTTTACAGAGGGGAGAGAGGGAGATGGACGGAAGTGAAACTGATGCTTGTAGTTGAAGCAGTTGGAAAGCAGTCAGGTCCACAACAGCAGGACGTCTGCAGCAGCTATTCAGAAGAACCTTCGGCATGATGGAGCTCAGGGACTCCCAGAAAAGACTGCATTACTGACATGATGATTCAGAGTTAATGAGACAGACGGACAAAAGGAGGATGGAGATGGAAGGAAAGATGCTCAATATGCCAGTACCCCTAGCAGTCTAAACCAGGCATGAACCAGATTGAAGCTTTACCAAAATAGAAAGTTTAAAGACAACTCTAGAGAGGGTGTCTGCCCCCCCTTCACCTCCACTGGTAGATGATTCCTAACTGAAAGCTCTACCACCCAGACCACTTTCACAGACTTCAGACCCAAATCAGGTGCTGGTTAATATTACTTTAGACTTTGAAAGATCTGGACTCTGACTCTCTCTGACATCTCTCTCATTAGCCTCCACACAACCACATATATGTCCTCCACCAACACCACCACCAGGTGAAGTACAGCTCATAAGTAAGTCATTATTTCTAAGTTGGTCAAGATTCCACATCCTGTAGTTGAAATTCAAGATAAAATACATATTTCTATTTCAAATTGTGATCAGGCGACTTGTCTCTCTCTTCTAAGCCCCTCTGATGTCTCGCCTCGTGCCTCTGGTCGTCAGTGAGCTCCTGGTTTTTGGGCTGTTGGCTGTTTTTCTGATCATCCTCTGCATATGGAAGGCCAGGAGAAACTTTGGGGTGAACACTGGTGAAAATGCAGACGGTGTGAACATGGAGGTGACTTCTTTTGACTGGAGTCAAAGTACAGATACATTTGACAACACTTACAATTACTATTTTGGATAACTGCTTTTAAAAAACACATGAATTCAGACTAATCTAAAGTTCACATTCTGCCAGTCTATATTAATTTAGAAAACATTATTCACACTTTTAAACTCACATGCTGCAGGTTTTCAAAATGAGATACAAGAACTTAAGCTTAGCTCATCAAGAATACAACAAATGACTGGAGTTTCATCTTCAATCTGAAAATTGACTTGTTACTGTGCATGTCTGGTTTTCAGAATCTGTCTTCAGTCCCTGAAAAACAAGAACATTGATCCAGCCAGCAGAGACCAGGACCAAACCTGATGTAGTCTGTAGGGGCAGCAGGAAAATCTCCAGATCAGCTAAATATGTGCTTTAAAAATTCTGCTTTTGTACCAAAAATGAAACTATATTATTGGGCCGCACAATTACACAAGGCAGTAGAATGCTTAAAACAAAATAAAGAAACAAAATTCATGCCCCAGAATCTCACTCCAAGTATTTCCATCCTATTTAAATGAGATACGGACAAAAAACAAGAACAAAATTTCAACTATTTGGATAAAGTGCACACACAAAGTTTAAAACTGTAAGGGAAAAAAATTAAATGCACCGCAGTCGATATCTAGGGCAATGAAAATTTCCAAGATAATGGATTTCAAGCCTAGACAAGACTGGGAAAATAAGGGCCTTATTTTTATTGATGACGTATTTGATAGTAAAACCCTGAAGTCATTTAACCATTTACAGGAAAAATTTGGTTTGATATCCACAGATTTCTACAGGTTGAGAAGCTACCTGACTTCACATAAAGAATGGCAGTCTCTTACATTACAGCCTTCTGATTTAGAACTTTTCTTCATCAAGATCATAAAGAAAATGGATGGTAAAAAAAAAATTGTATCACATTTATATAAATGACTACAGACAATTGTAACAGGGGGCTCTCTTGGAATAAAGGAAAAGTGGGAATTAGAAATGAAAGTTGTGAGTGAAGATGAAATTTGGAAACAAGCGTGTGAGAATGGGAATAAACTGACCAGCAGCCCCACATGGAAAAATTTCATATGGAAAGTGAATACCCGCTTTTTCGAAGATTCATTTATCATCTCTAAATTTGGCGAAACAAAGACAAACCTCTGCTGGAGACAATGCAGACAAATTGGAGATCACACACACATTTTCTGGGATTGTCCAAAACTGAAAATATACGGGTGGAACTTTCTAACATCTTAAAAATTAGCATAGAGAATGACCCGCTGATCTTCTTTGGGTGTTTCCCTATGACTTTTTATGTAAAGAAAGAATGTACCTCCTCAAAATCCTCATAACAGTGGAAAAAAACATGATAACTACGTCCTGGTGTAAGCCATTACCCCGACCATAGACCAATGGAAAGAACGACTTATCAAGATATACAGAGCGTTAAAAATAATGGCAAAGGTCAACCTCAACATAGCCTTATTCAAGAAGAGATGGAATTTACTCATTTCTTACCTTGGACGAACATACAGGACACTTATGTGATTCAGCATCATATAGGCACCTACAGGCCTGGACCCTCTAAAGTAAAAGGGTGTGTTTTTTGTTTTCTATGTTCACCACCTTATCTTAAATGTATTGAGAGGCTGATAAAAATGTGGCTTTATGTCTGTGTAGGTTCTCATTCATCCAGGTCGTGTTAATCTTTTTCATATAAACTTTAACCTTTTCAAGAGGCTCTCTGTATGTGTGACCATCGGCAGGCAACTTACTCTATACACTTCACATTACAGTCTGTACCATTCAGCATAAAGCAGATAAAAGAGGAAGTAAAAAACAAAAATAATTGTGAGAACATAAGTGGGAACCACTCTTATTTAGCTGGAAATGTAGTTAGCGGGAAGATAGGGCTAATTTGGTTTAAACTGCCAGTAATCCACTTTTATTAGCATTAGTGTTGGAGACGATAGTGGATCAGTATCATAGATCACACGAGAAATCAAAAAGTATGGTTACACACTGACTCATAAATATACGCTGATTAAAGAGATCGCTGATCACACACACACACACACTGGAAATACACACACACATATACACAGGAAATAACCTAATGGGTAAAAGATATTGTTTAGGGGTACATTTTGTTGTGTTGTATGTTTGAGTTGAGTGGGGGAAATTGAGTTGGGGATTCTGGATTTAATACTGTAACTATTTGGATTGGCCGGTTAATTTATTAGTCATCCTGATTCTTTTCCTGTTAATAACATTTATTCATCATTACATTTTGATCAATAGAGTTTATGGTTATAATAAGCTAAGGGGGGGTTGATTCATGTGAAAGTGCGGGAGAACAGAGGACTTGCCAGTGAGGAAGTGATTACAGGTGTGTCTTGAGTGGGTAATTCATGTCACCTGTGGAGAAGTGTTAAAGGGGGGATCTGGATTTCAGGAGGGTGTTCCTATCCAGAGGCCAGGTCTCTTTGTATGCGCATGATGTCCTCGTTCGGGACATTCCTGGACTGGAGGAATTCTTTCAAATCGTCCTCTGTGACCCTTTTTTTTTTTTTTTTTTTAATTAACATATTCAACAATTTACAAAACTCTCAATGGGAGACAAGTGCAATTCAGATGTACATCTTACTTTTACAGAATAACAGTGATAATATACATGAGAACAACATAATGTAGGAAAAGAACACAAAACTTACAGCAAGGCCTGCCTTTGGAATTCATACAAACAGCCAGTGTAAATATTAGATAATTAATGATTCATTGAGTAACAGTACATATTCAGAGACATCTTCACATAGGTTTTCTAGTCTTTAATTAGTGACAAGGAAGCAAAAGGGATGGATTTTTATTTTGCCATTTACTTTTATGGATGTGGTATTTACCCATAATTATTATTATATTGCAAATTTGGAAAAATTTGTTTGGCATGTTGTAATTTCCATACAGCACTTGTTCCAATTTCAAGTGTGCAATTTTATCCATTTTAATTTTCAACCAGTTGACTAAATCATGCCAAAAGTTCTTAATTATGCTGCATGAGAAAAAAAGATGTTCAATTGTTTCCTCTTCTTGCGAGCAGAAAACACATGGCTCCACCTCGAAACCAAACCTCTTTTTAAGGATTGCTGCTGAAGGATAGTAACCATTGATTATTTTAAACTGCATTTCCTTGATTTTAGGGGAAATTAGCCATTTCATAAATTTTACCCCTTTATTGGTTATTTTTTCATCACTATTATACATATTTTACATTTCTATCAAAGTTATGAAATAGCTGATCTTTGAATAATTTATTAATAATATTATTTTTGCACTTTTTTTTCAAGTAAAGAAACCTGGTTTAACTGTATTTTAGGCAAGGTTATTGTTCCTTTAGTGTAATGCATGTAATTTTGAATTAAATTTAGTAAAGCAATAGGTATTGCTTTGCAAACCTTTTGGTACTCTCTTTTTGAACTTTGAATGTTATATTGAGATTGAGATTTGAGATTTGATTTATTGGTCCCCTTGGGGAAATTCATCCTTACTGACTGTACGTTATAGGAAAGACAACGACATAGCACATTACAAACATCAACAAACAGTATGGACAGACATAAATAGTGTGGGACAGTGACAACAGCAAGAGGTGGCAGGCTGGTCAGATAGGTCAGAGGGGCCTGCTGTTAAGGGCGGCGATAGCTGCAGGGATCAGGCTTTTCCCAAGACGGGCCCTCCTGAATTTTTGTGTTCTGTACATGCGCCCAGGGGGTAGTGGAATGATGTGTCAGTGTAATGGGTGAGTGATGTCCTGGACTATTGTGTTTGCCAGTCGAGTGATGGACCTGTTATTTAATGCTGTAAGGTTGGGTGTGGGGAGGCCAATGATTTTAGCAGCTGTATTTGTGAGACGTGACAGTTTGGCCCGGCTGGTGACAGATAGCATGGTGTAAAAACGTGTGGAGCAGTAAAGAAGGATGGGTTGTATAATGCTATTGTAGAGTAACAACAGAAGATGAGGTGCAACATATAGTCCTTTAAGTTTGCAGATGGCTGACAGTCTTTGTTGGCTCCTTTTTTGAATGTCCGTGGTGTGCTAATCAAAGGTGAGTTTATTTTCCAAGTTATTTAAAAGTGTCGACTGTCTCAGCTGTTTGTGCGTTTATGATGATGGATAATTGGTGTTGAACTCAGGGGAGCTAAGAATTTGACCGTGACCATCTAGTATGTCTGTGATAAAAATTATATCTATTTCATACCAACTTTGAATGAATAACGTTTTTCTGTTAGATGTAAAAGCTCTGTTATTCCATAAGGTGGAGCCATGTGGAGAAAAGTTATGGGTAAGCATCATCTTCCAATCGTGGAGAATCTGTTTGTGGTATTCAGACAATTTTACAGGCAATTTGGATATTTCAAAATCACATCTCAAAAGAAAATCCAGTCCTCCCACTTGATCAAAAATACCTTTGGGGAAAGCAAATCATATGGAGTTAATTATTTGGCAAAATTTGTCACCAAAACCAAACATATGTAGTGATTAATGTAAAAAATCATGCTCAATGGAATCAAATGCCTTGAAAAAATTAATAAACAATATTAAGTTTTCTGAATTTCTAAGGGTGTGATAGTCTAACATATCTGAGACTAACGTAACATTGTTTTGTGTAAGTCTCCCTTTAATAAAAGCTGAATGAAATTCGTCAACTAATTTACTCAAAACACCTTTGTTCCTATTGGCATAAACAAGCGCTAATAATTTATAATCATTACATAATAAAGTTATAGGTCTCCAAATATCTAATTTTAAAAGATCCTTGTTTGGATTGGGTAGCAAAGTTTTTAAGCCAGTTCTTATTGTTGGGGATAATTGGCCATTATTTATACAATCTACATATGCATTCAATAATATCTGTTACAAATCATGCCAAAACATTTTATAAAATTCTATGGTTAGACCATCAATGCCTGGTGATTTACCATTTTTCATTTGTTTCAAAGCAGTTTCCATCTCTTGTATAGTTATATGCTCTTGTAGTAGTGACTTGTCTTCATTTGGCAATTTATAAATGTTGTCTTTAACTACGTTTATAAAAACATCACATTCTTCTTTAACAAACCTTTTCCTATATAAATTGCTATAGAATTGAGTTATTTATTCTGTTATTTGTGCAGTCTTTTATGATGATACCATTTTTATTTAACTTAGTGATGTTCTTCTTAGTGTGTCTTCTTTCCTCAAGACTGTAAAAATATTATGAATTTTTTTCCCCTTGTTCAATCCATTTGGCTTTAGATCTTAAAAAGGCGCCTTTTGCCTTCACTAAATAAAGCTCATCTAGTTGATTTTGAAAAGAGTGTAATAGTTCCTTGTCTTCTCCTGTTATGTTGGGCTTTTCACAGAGTGAACTTATTTTTCAGGCTAGTTCTTTTTGTTTCATTTTACAAGCTTCTGTGATTTTTTTCCCTGATTCATTTGCCTGTTGTTTTACCCAAAATTTAAACCATTCCCCCTTTACTAATATTTCAAGTATCCATCTCAATTATTTCATATTGATTTCACTTCTTCACTAAATTCTTTGTTTAGTAATAATGCATTGTTGAATTTCCAAACATTATTAGATTTCTGTTTTTTAGTTACAAAAGACAGTGAGAGATCAATAATACAATGATCAGTAAGTGGTGACATTTGAATATCCCATTTTGTTAAAAAGATTGTGGTAGGATTTGACATTTTCCAATAGTCAATCAGATTATTTGAGGCACAAAAGGTGTTAATTATAATGTTACAGTCTGGTTGTATCCCCTTAGGAGGCTTCCTATCAAGCCAGGAATTAGGGGCTATATTAAATTCACCTCCTGCTATTACATTATCTGTACCATAAGTCACCCTCCATTCTACAATCAATCGAGTTAATTTTGACATCATATTCTTATTAAGAATTCTGTTGTTGTAACCATAAACATTCACTAAAATAAATTTAAGGTCATATAAATCTATTGCTGCCATAACCCAGTGACCATCTTCATCACTTTTCTGATCAATTATTGACCCTTTGAACTTGTAAAATAAAATCCTCACTCCTGCAGAGAGAGAAGAACCATGTGAAAGCAAAGTAATACCCCCCATCGTTGCTTCCAAAATGTTTCATAGTCCTTTTTGGAACGTGTCTCTTGTAAAAAAAATAAGATTGGCTTTACTTTCTTTGCAAAGTAAAAATATGGCCTTGCGTGTAACTATATTTTTTAAACCTCTAACATTAAGTGAATTCAAAAGAACAGACATAACTAAATAAAAGAATGATACGCCTTAGATGCGCAAAAAGAGCGTGTTGTCCTAGAACACTTTTTTTATCTATTATTATTATTGTTGTTGTTAACAGAACCCCATAGTTCAAAATGTCTGTGCACTTAAGGCCCTATAACATAGGAAAATCCCTGAGGGTTATTTAAAGTGCATCAAACAATATTTTGTCAGCTAATGTTATGACCAGCATCTATTTTTAAGGTTTTGGCTCAGCTCTTTTGCCATCAATGACAGCATACCCCTCCTTTAAGAGGGCTCTTCGTCCTTTGCGGTGTGCCTCCTCCACTACTGACCAAAGCTTCGCCAGAGCCTCGTGATCTTCTTTCGCAAAGTCCTTCTTGAATCTAATGTTCATTTCCTTGCAGACCCTGGCCTCCTTTGACTTTCTCCAAACCTCATCCCACGTTGTCCTCATGCTGAATTGGATGA